TTTTTGGCACAATTGTAAATGGAATTGTTTTCTTAATTTCTCTTTCTGCTACTTTGTTATTAATGTATAGAAATGCAACAGATTTCAGTATATTAAGTTTGTATACTGTGACATTACTGAATTTATTAGTTTTAACAGTTTTTTGTGGAATATTTAATGTTTTCTATATATAACCCTATGTTATTTGCAAATAGTGACAGTTTTACTTCTTCCTTAATAATCTGGATGCTTTGGGGCGCCTGGGTGGCTCAGTCGTTAAGTGTCTGCCTTCGGCTCAGGTCATGATCCCAGGGTCCTGGGATCGAGCCCTGCATTGGGCTCACTGCTTGGTGGGAAGCCTGCTTCTTCCTCTCCCACTCTCCTGCTTGTGTTCCTGCTCTATCAAATAAATAAATAAAATTTAAAAAAAATAATAATAATAATCTGGATGCCTTTTATTTCTTTTTATCTGATTGCTTTGGCTAGGACTTCTAATACTATGCTGAATAAAAGTGGTAAGAGTAGACATCCTTGCCTTATTCCTGATTTTAGAGGAAATGCTCTCAGTTTTCCACCATTGAGTATGATGTCAGCCATGGGTTTTTCATATATGGTCTTTATTAAAGTATGTTCCCTCTAAACCCACTTTGTTGAGAGTTTTTATCATAAATGGATGTTGAATTTTGTCAAGTGCTTTTTCTGCATCTATGGATATGATCATATGGTTTTTACCCTTCCTTTTGTTAATATGGTGTATCATGTTGATTGATTTGCAAATACTCGACCATCCTTGCATCCCCAGAATAAATCCCACTTGAACGTAGTGAATGATTCTTTTAATGTATTTCTGAATGCAGTTTGCTAATATTTTGTTGAGGATTTTTGCATCTATATTCATCAAGGATATTGGTCTATAGTTTTCTTTTTTTGTAGCATCTGTGTCTGGTTTTGGTATCAGGGTAATGCTAGCCTCATAGAATGTATTTGGAAGGTTTCATTACTCTTTGATTTTTTGGAATAAGTTTGAGAAAAACAGGTATCAACTCTTCCTTAAATGGCTGATGGAATTTAACTGTAAACCTATCTTGTCCTGGACTTTTGTTTGTTGGGAGTTTCTTGATTACCAAAATCAATTTCATTACTAGTAATTGTCCTGTTCAGATTTTCTATTTCTTCCTGATTCAGTTTTGGAATACTGTATGTTTCTAGGAATTTATTCTTTTTCTAGGCTGTCCCATTTGTTGGCATATAATTTTTTGTAGTAGTCTCTTATAAGCCTTTGTATTCCTATTGTATAGGTTGTTACTACTTCTTCATTTCTGATTTTATTTATTTGGGTCCTCTCTCTTTCTCTTGACGAGTCTGGCTAAAGTTCTGTCAATTTTGTTTATCTTTTCAAAGAACCAGCTCTTAGTTTCACCAATCTTTTCTATTGTATTTTTAGTCAGTCAGTTTCATTTATTTTTCCTCTGATCTTTATTAATTCCTTCTACTAACTTTGGGCTTTGTTCTTCTTTTTCTAGTTCTTTTAGGTATAAGGTTAGATTGTTCACTTGAGATTTTTCTTGATTATTCAGGTAGGCCTGTATTTATATAAACTTCTCTCTTAGAACTGCTTTTGCTGTGTCCCAAAGATTTAGTAATGTTGTCTTCATTTTTATTTACCTTAAGGTATTTTTCTTCCTCAAGGTGTTTTTTTTTTTTTATTTCTTCACTGACCCATTGCTTATTTGGTAGCATGTTGTTTATTCTCTTTGTGTTTTTTCCAGTTTTTTCCTTTTAATTTATTTCTAGTTTTATAAATATTGTGGTTGGAAAAGACGCTTGATATGATTTTGATCTTCTTAAATTTACTGAGACTTGTTCTGTGGCCTAATATGTGACCTATCTTGCAGAATGTTCCATGTGCATTATAAAAAATGCATATTCTCCTGTTTTTAGATGGAATGTTCTGTACATATTTGCTTAAGTCCATCTGATCTAATGTCTCAAACAAAGCCACTATTTTTTTATTAATTTTCTATCTGGATAATCTATCCATTGATGTAAGTGGGGTGTTAAAGTTCCCTACCATTATGGTATTACTGTCAATTTCTCCCTTTATGTCTGTTAATATCTGCTTTATATATTTAGATGCTCTCATGCTAGATGCATATATATTTACAAATATTATATTCTTTTGTTGGACTGCTCCCTTCATCATTATGTAATGCCCTTCTCTGTCTCTTTTACAGTCTTTGTTTTATCGTGTCTGATACAAGTATTGCTACCCCAGCTCTACTGATCATTCCCATTTGCATAGAGTATCTTTTTTATCCCATCACTTTCAGTCTGTACGTGTCTTGTAGGTAGCATACTGATGGGTGTTTTTTTTTTTTTAATCTATTCAATTACTTTATGACTTTTGATTGAACATTTAGTCCATGTACATTAATTATTGATAGGTATATACTTACTGCCATTTTGTTCATTGTTTTCTAGCTGTTTTTGTAATTCTTCTATGTTCCTTCCTTCTTTCTTGCTGTCTTGTGATTTGATGACTATCTTCAGTTTTGTGCTTGGATTCCTTTATTTTTTGTGTACCTATTACAGGTTTTTTGTTTGTGGTTGCCGTAAGGTTTATGTATAACACCCTATGTGTTAGTCATCTATTTTAAGTTGATGGTCACTTAAGTTCAAACACATTCTAATTGGACTACATTTTTACCTCCCCCTCGCCACATATTATGTGTCTGACACATTTTACATGTTTTTATTTTGTGTTTCCCTTACCTAGTTACTGTAAATATAGTTGACTTTACTACTTTTTCCTTTTAACCTTCATGCTAGCTTTTTAAGTGACTGACCTACTTCCTTTATTATATGATTGCTTTTACCAGTTGTAGAAGTGCTGACAGTACTGACTCCACTGTTGGCCCTCCACCTTGTTTTTATTTGCTTGATGACCTCTCTTGCGGCTGCATGTTCCAGGCCCTTGGAGATTAAGATACATATGTTAGAAATACCTGCCAAGGCTGGGATGGGGGAAGCTTGCTTTGACCGCCCATGAATCTGTTAGAGATGATGCAGTCTTTATCCTTCATGATGCACAGGTGGCACCACACGATCCAATTAAAAGGTCAGCTGTCAATTAAGTGCATGTGAACCCTCTGATCACATAGTAATGCCCTTCTGCCTATCTCTTGCTCTATAAAATCTACGGACTAAGGTCTAGACTTTATGGAGGATAGTTGTACAGCACTTGGATCCTCATCTGCCTGATTACCTCATCAACAAGCTACCCTGAACAAAACTCTGTAAACCATATGGAAGCTGCCTTCTTTGATTTCCAGTCTCAAAGTGTCTTCTCAGCTTGGGGAGTACTCTACTGTCCCTCCCCTACTTTTTAACACCAGGGAAATGTTTTCTTTCATAATTTTTTTACTTCTAGTTATGGCTTTTTCTTTTCTGCATAAAGAAGTCACTTTAACATTTCCTATAAGGCTGGTGCAGTGGTGATGAACACCTCTAACTTTTGTTTGGGAAACTCTGTATCTCCAGTTCTGAATTATAACCTTGCTGGGTATTCTTGGCTGTAGGTTTTTCCTTAGAGTACATTAAATACATCATGCCATTCCCTCTGGCTTGCGAAGTTTCTGCTGAAAACTCAGTTGAGAGTCTTGTAAGTGTTCCCTTGTATGGAAGTTGCTTTTCTCTTGCTGCTTTTAAAATTCTATATAACTTATGACATTTTAATTCCTATGTGGACATCTTTGGGTTCATCTTATTTGGGGCTATCTATGCTTCCTGAACCTGGATGTCTGTTTCCTTTCTCAGTTTGGGAAAGTTCTCAGCTGTTTTTCCTTCAAATAAGTTTTCTGCCCCTTTCTCACTCCCTTCTTCTGGGACCCCTATAATGCAAATGTTCATACTTTTGATGTTGCCCCAGAAGTCCCTCACCCTATCTTATATAAAATTCTTTTTTCTTTTGCTGCTCAGCTTGGGTATTTCCACCATTCTGTCTTCCAGATCACTGATCCATTCTTCTGTACCCTCTCCCCAGTTGTTGATTCCCTCTGGTATACTTTTCATTCAGTCAAAAAATATCCTTCATGTACATCTCAAACTCAAAGCTCTGCAAACTGCTGTCTCTGTGCTGGATCTCAGAGTGTGTGAAATTGTGGGTGGGACCTTTAGGAGCACTGTCTGTTTCCCATGGCCCCCTGGTTGTCCCAGAGTTAAGCTTCAATGATTTTCAAAGCTCCTAAAGTTCAGCTCTGCTGATTTTCAAAGCTAGATGTTGTGGGGGGGGGTCTCATTTTTCCTGTGCAGATCTCCAGAGCAGGGATGTATGACAGGGTGCTTAAATCCCTTGCTTCTCAGGTAGGATCTCTGGGCCTGCGACATCAAATCACTTGTGGGTCACCAGACTGGGGGTTTGGTTCCCAACCTGACCTCACCTCTGTCACACTTTACCCTTCTCAAGGTGGCTTTTTTCCCCCCTTTCTTTTTCTTTTTTTTAAGTAAGCTGTATGCCCAACATGGGACTTGAACTCACAACCCCGAGATTAAGAGTCACTCTACCAACCGAGCCAGCCAGGCACCCTGTGGCTTTTTCTTTTTATCTTTAGCTGTGCAAGAGCTGGTCTCCTAGTCTTCAGGTCTTTCTCAGTGAGAGTTCCTTTTTATGTAGTTGCAGTCTTGCTGTGTTTGTGGGGAGAGGTGAGCTCAGGATCTGCGTATACTCTGCCATCCTCCTATCAGTCTCAAATATTACACCTTTTAAAATGGCATCTAATTTTGATCTACACAATGAATTAAAGAATCAGTACACAATCTCAACAGTAATTTTTTAAAGTTGTGACATCAAAGAGCATTAGGACAGGGTACTGTGGTAACTGTTGTATTACCTATGTTGCAAAATATACCGAAAGGTATCTTTAACTTCCCATTTATTACGTATATGTATCTCAACATATTATTACACTTCTGTGAAAATCTATTAAACTTATACTAAAATATGTTAAGTCATATGAGTTTACCTCTTCTCTCTTTTCTCCTTCTTCCATTGAAATAACATGGTCTGTGACATTGTCAATACAAGGTAAGTCCGAAGAAGAGATCACAATTTCTTCTGGTTCTTGCATAAACAAAGGTTTTTCTTCTTGCTGGATCCATTCTTGATACACTTTTACCACTCTTCTCATAGCTGCTGCTTCACAAATTGGTAATAAAAATGCCTAGTGAAAAAAAAAGAGAATACACATAATTATACATTTCACTTTGCCACAAACCACTAATACATACATTTTTATCTTGTTATAAAGTATGATATAAATGATTTTTAAAGAGTTAAAAGTCAACCAATCCATTGTCAGAAAAAGCCTTTTGTTTCCAAAAAAATTGTAAATATGTTGACATAGAAATACTTTCAGCAGGGGTGCCTGGCTGGCTCAGTCAATAGAGCATGCAACTCTTGATCTCGGGGTCATGAGTTCAAGCCCTACATTGGGTGTAGAGATTACTTAAAATATTAAAAAAAAAAAGGAAGAAATGCTTTTGGTAGATAGACATGGATTTCAAGTACAAGAGCAAAGACTTGTTTCACTTGTACTATCTCAGAATGAAAATATTCCATGTTTCATGAAATAACTATACTCCTACAAAGCTCAATGTAAATAACACTTTTCATAATAAATCACAGTTTTATAACTTTGTTTTTTTAGATTACTATTGAAATAAATTTCAATGAGTTAAATTAAAAATTAAATCTGATTCCAAGTAATACAAATTACATGAAAAAGGCAACTATAAACACATAAGAAAAACTGTTACAGCTTTATTTCATTTTACATACAATAAATAATGTTAAATAAGTTAAATAAGGCAAAATACTTAAATAATTAAAAGGAATACCTTACAATTATTCTTTCCTTTATGTACTTTCTGGGTTGCCTTAATTTTTAAAAAAAAGTAAATATTCTCTTCATCACAAAAATACTACATTTTCACAATAAAAAAACTTTTTTATACAATTCAGACAGGCAAAAATAAACAGTAAAAGTACTCCATCTCACGACCCACATTTCTTTCATCATGCATATTTGTGTTCATGTGTTAACATTTTCACTGGACTTTCTCTTTACAAAAAAAAAAAGGAATTAAATTGCTTTTAATTTTTCCTTTTACAACCAGTATTTATTAATTTCAACTCTAAAAGTCACAAGACCTTTACCCAAAAACCTGGCACTTCCTCCTATATGGCTATCAGTAGGTGTATTTAATAATAATGGGCTCAAATGACTATTTTATCTGAAAGAAACTAGCCAAGAAAATCAGCTTTCCAAGATAATGATGAAAAGTTAATGTATAATATCAACAGGATATTTAATGTAGTTTGGTAATCCTTTTATTTATTTATTATTATTAATTCCCTAGCAATCTACATTACTTGCTCCTTTCTTTCATCTAACAAACCCATTCCAAAATTCTCACTCTCATATTCTAGCAGCCTAATGGTCAATGGCATGATTTGGATCATCACTGTCTGCTCTAAGAATATTTGTTTTATAATTCTAGCAACAACTCAGCCTTCCTTAAAAAGGTTCAACGTATAAGAAAAAAATCTCAATCTCAAAGAAATTCTATTCTCAGATGCTGAAAAAATGAACTTTTTAAAATTGGCATGGAAACCCTCTGCAGTTTCTGCTCAATTTTGCTGTGAACCTAAAACTGATGTAAAACAAAGTTTAATCATTTAAAAAATATTAGTAATCTCTAGAGCTAAGATATTTATTAATTCATAAACTGTCACACAATATTCCAAGTGGCTTGATGAATTTACTAAAGCCCAGAGTATATATAACCTTTGTCCTTAGAAGCCCCAAAGTCTGATTTTGCCAACACACTAAATATGGATCTTAAGGAAAGACTGATAATAGCCATGGGTAAAAAAACTGATACATAGGGCGCCTGATACATAGGGTGGCTCAGTTGGTTAAGCGACTGCCTTCGGCTCAGGTCATGATCCTGGAATCCCGGGATCGAGTCCCGCATCGGGCTCCCTGCTCAGCAGTGAGTCTGCTTCTCCCTCGGACCCTCCCCCCTCTCATGCTTTCTCTATCTCATTCTCTCTCTCAAATAAATAAAATCTTTTAAAAAAAAAACCGATACATAAAAACCAGAGTGCCAATTTATACATTTACGACGAGAAATAACTGTCACACAAACCAGAACATTAAATCCATACGTCAGCACCTTATCCCTATGAAGAAGCACCACTCAGACTCCAATATTAACTGAAAATAAGTTATCATTCAAAAAATATTTCTGAATCTATGTATTCAGCAAATTTTCTGTCTGTAGATAGATGTGCATGAGGTCATCCCAGTTCTGATTCTATGACCATAAAACTACTACACAACCAAAAACTACATGGAGAACGAATCAAAACAAGAGGAGATAGAAAAATCCAATATTTAATGGTATTAGTTTAAGATAATCTGATCCATTTTTCTAACAATTGGCTTTGCCAATGGGATGTGATTTACTGGTAGCTGCAACTCTCTTCTTCAGTGAAAAACAGTAACAAAACATGGTGGTTTCCGATATTTTTAATATTCTGTTATTATTAATCAACCCAGATTGTGATGGACACATTCTTTTAAGATTTAATGAAGTACAGGGCGCCTGGGTGGCTCAGTCGTTAAGCGTCTGCCTTCGGCTCAGGTCATGATCCCAGGGTCCTGGGATCGAGTCCCGCATCGGGCTCCCTGCTCTGCGGGGAGCCTGCTTCTCCCTCTCCCACTCCCCCTGTTTGTGTTCCTGCTCTTGCTATCTCTCTCTCTGTCAAATAAAAAAAAAAAAAGATTTAATGAAGTACAGTGAGCATTTAGTAGACCTGGGAATTTTTTGTCTTCGTAAAGCAATGGTCTCAGAACCTCTACTCTACCAGATGTTTACAAGAATAAGTTATTCTAAAATAAGAGTAACATTGCTTGACATTTTTGCAAACATCTTTAATGTTTAGCTTAATAAAAGATGGTTTGATTCTCTTATCTGCTTGCTTCTTCATTCAATCTAATACAATATCACATATCAGGTATCTCTGGAAAACTTCACCCTACACTTGTGAGAAAATGACAGTGGAAAAAAGTAAGTAAAATCTTAGTGCTGTCATGAAAACAGTTTTGACCTCATGGACCTTAAAAGGTCCTGGAGACTTCCCAGAAGCCTAAGACCACAGTTTGTGATCCACTGCCTTAACATGACTTTGGGGAAAAAAAAAAATATATATATATATAATACCTATATACAAAATTACATATATATAAAATCTGTGTTCTTAAAGGTTAGACTATTGATGTGTTATATTTACCTCATATCAAAATACGTGAGGGCTCCTCATTGTAGTCTCCAAGTAATGACAACATAAAGTACACTGGGTTTACTTATAAAATAGGGGGTTAATGCCTGCAGTGCATCTATGCCTATTCTATTGGATTTGGAGAATAATTTTATCATTTCAGATGATTTGGGGATTTATGCTTTATAGTTAAATCTTCATTTTAAATACACATAACGATATAAATACCTTCATCTGAGATAGAACTCAGAATCATTATACTGCCCCTAAAATAACATCATCAACTATGGTTAACAAATTATCTGAAGACTTAGCTTCTAGAAATAAATGTTAGCCCTCAGGTAGCAATAATAAAGTACCTGGCACTCAACAGTTACAGAACTTATTCTTCTTCCTTTTTTTTTTTTTTTTTTGAGAGAGGGAGAAAGAGAGAGATGCATGCAAGAACTGGGGGAAGGGCAGAGGAAGAGGGAGAGGGAGAGAGAGAATACCAAGCAAGTTCCACACCCAGCAAAGAGCCAGACACAGTGCTCGATCTCAAGACCCTGAGATCATGACCTGAGCTGAAATCAAGAGTTGGATGCTCAACTGAGCCACCCAGGTGCCCCAACAGTAACAGAACTTCTTGATTCATTCACCAAATATTTACTAGGTGCCTACTCTATACCAGGCACTAAGGACACAATGATAAATGAATAAGAGAAGCATTCATGGAGGGTAGCAGGAAAGATCAGAATTTTAAAAGTAACTTTTTATAATAAATATAAAACTCAGAGGAGGTACTATGAAGAAGAGGACAATTTTCAAAAACATCATAAGGATGTACTTACTACATGTGTGTCTATGTGTGTGTGTGTGTGTGTGCATATGCATGCAGGTGCATCTGTCTTTGAGTGGGTGGATGAAGGTGGTCATGGAAGACTTCTCTGGTGTAATCATATTTAAGTTGTGATCTAAAGGAGATGAGTAGCAGGTAAAAAAAAGAAGGGGAAAAGGGTAGAGAAGAAAGGAAGGCTGAAGAACAAAAGTTAAGATAGGGAAAATAATAACTGTGAAAGCTATGAGAATGGAATTATTTGAGAAATGTTAAGTAAACATATTTCTACTAAACTTTACCTATAGAAAGACTTGTGCTCTAGCTGGGCCTGCTAAGGGCAAAGTCATTATATGGCCATATACCTGATAATTAATGGGGAGTATTTTTATCTATATTATATTGTGGAACATATGAACCTTCAAAATAAAAAGAAATATTTCACAAATTCTCAATTTTTGAAAATTTATCAGTAATACTAGGCAGGTAAAAAAGCTTTCCTACGACAATCTAATCTTGGAAATTGATCCCTTTTCAAAACATCAATGATTCATTGGTGTCACCATCCTAAAATTTATTTTTCCTTAAGTTTTACCTTAAAAATCACTTTTTCTTGAAAGAGTTATTCATTTATTTTAGAGAATACAAGCAGGGGCAAAGGCAGAAGGAAAGGGAGAGAGGGAATCTCAAGCAGGCTCCAGGTCCAGCGTGGAGCCCAACATGGGTCTCAGTCTCACAACCCTGAGATCATGACCTGAGCCAAAATCAAGAGCTGGATGCTTAACTGAGCCACCCAGGCGCCCCTCAGGTCATGATCTCAGGGTCACAGGATCAGGCCCCTCATTGGTCTCTGCACTGGGCCTAGAGTCTGTCTGAGATGCCTCTCTCCCTTTCCCTCTGCCCCTCAGCCCCCATCCCTCTCTAAACAAAATAAATAAAAATAATTATCAGAATAAAAACATCTCAGAGAACTTCAGTTCCCAGCAATATCATTTTAAGATATCCTGGAATATTCCTGCATAAAATATCTAAAAAAATACAATATACCTTTTTAAATTAAT